GGGTCTGGGGCAAGGAAGGGTACTCACCAGTGTTCCAAAAGGGAAGTCTGGAGCAAGATGGGAGCTGGGGGCCGGCCTCTAAGTCTCAGGAAGAGGCTTGGGGCTCAGGCGGATGGGCGTGGAGATTGCAGGGTCTGCCAGGGGTCTTGGAGAAGGGGATCCTTCCCGGTGGGGCTAGCAGGGAACCTGCCCGGTGGCCAGAACCTGGGGCCAAGTTGGGCAGGTCTTCCCTGGAGTGGCTGGTGCCCAGGGATGGGGTCTGGGGCAAGGACAGGCACTCACCAGTGTTGTAAAAGGGAAGTCTGGAGCAAGATGGGAGCTGGGGGCCGGCCTCTAAGTCTCAGGAAGAGGCTTGGGGCTCAGGCGGATGGGCGTGGGGGCAGGGCGTGGAGACTGCAGGGTCTGCCAGGGGTCTTGGAGAAGGGGATCCTTCCCGGTGGGGCTAGCAGGGAACCTGCCCGGTGGCCAGAACCTGGGGCCAAGTTGGGCAGGTCTTCCCTGGAGTGGCTGGTGCCCAGGGATGGGGTCTGGGGCAAGGAAGGGTACTCACCAGTGTTCCAAAAGGGAAGTCTGGAGCAAGATGGGAGCTGGGGGCCAGCCTCTAAGTCTCAGGAAGAGGGTCCTGATGTTATTAGCAGCTGTGATATTTAGCATTGATTTCTTATAAGGAAATTTTAGGTGAAGCAACTCTTTTGTAAGACAGCTAGATTTTCTGAAGTTTGTTCCCATCTATAAAGCAGTCATTTCTTTTTGAATGCCTGTTTTCTTGTCTCCTTATTAGATTTGCAAAGGAACTACTCGTTGCAGGCATTTTTTCAAAAGGCAAAGAACTTTATTTTCCCATAAGTTTCTTCATATCTAAAACAATGTTCAGTGTATAAACTGCTTTCTTAAGGATTTTAGGTGGCTTGTTTGCTCTGGAAGGTAACTTTTTGTCATCTAACTACGGTAAAAACGTTGCACAGCTATTGGGGTAAATAAGGCATTTTACCAGTGGAGCCCCAAACCCTGAAGCATCTAGTTCCATATCCTTTCAATATTTCATTGGAACTGACACTTAAACTTTTAGATGATTTTCCTCCTCATTCTTTTAAAAGCTGTATTTTAAGTTTACCGTGAATGTATTTTCAAGCTGACCAAAGTATTTCAGGGTAATGTGGCCATCTTTAGCTAAAAACCTCCCTTTCTCAGAATGCATTTCCCTTATATCAGTCCCTAATTGAGAGCTAGCTTTTGGACTTCATTTCCCATAGTTCTTTTTGGGTCTGAGAGTCAACTGGATCTCTTCTACCAGACTTGCTTACAAATTCTTGCCTGGGAGGTTTGAACAAAGTTTTTTGCTTTTGCAACGGGAGGTATGAACAAGCATTTTCATTTTCAGCTATGGCACATTGGGAGTTTTCTATTCTCTCCTCAGCTGGCTTCTACAGGTGTCTCTCCTTCATTTGACACTGGCCCCAAATCATAACTGCAGATGCCTTGTTGGCAGGCATTGAGGCTGGCATTCCTGATAGCAACTTTCCTCAGGGCTTGTCTTGGCTTTAGCCAGTCAGTGAAAAACATTTACAACAGAGCTTTTCCATAGCTCCTTCGGAGAGATTTTCTCCCACTGATTTTATTCTCATTTTGCTTGTCCCTTTCCCCCGAGATGCAGAGCTTCAGGAATCTGTCTGCAGCTCTGTACCTCTGCTAGCTTCCTTAGGGGGTAGGGGCTTTCCCCCCACCCCAATCTGCCTCAAATTCTTAGCAGCTTTCACAGGTCATGCATTTTCTGGGGAGGAATCTGTCCCCTCTGTTTCTTCAGAGTCTTTCTCCCTGACAGTACCCAGTTTGGTCTCAGTTTATTCCCTCTACTCCTGAAACAGTTTCTGACATTAGAGTGGTAGCTTTCCCTGCTACTGAAGGTAGGGGATTTTTGTCCATTTCTGTTTTAGGAGTCTGTGTGGTGCTATGGATATTGCTCTGTGTAAATAAATACTGATTGGCTGGTAGCAAGACAGGAAGTATAGGCGGGACTAACAGAGAGGAGAATTGAGGGAACAGGAAGGCAGAGAGGGAGACTGCCTGGAGCCGCTGCCAGGACAAGCAAGATGTAAGGTACCAGTAAGCCACAAGCCACGTGGGAAAGTATAGATTAATTTAAATGGTCTAAATATAAGAGTAAGAGCTAGACAATGATAGTCCTGAGCTAATGGCCAAGCAGTTTAAATAATGTAAACATCTGTGTGTTTCTTTTATAAGTGGGCTCTGGAACTGGCAGGACTTGGTGGGACCTGGAGAGAAAAGCTCTCCAACTACAGTGTGGTTTGCGTACAGACTGAAAATCTAACAAGGGAGGGTTTTGCCGTTTCTCAACTCCCATTAGGACAGGTGTTTTGCCTCATCAGGCCTTCACCTGGCCCAGTCCCCGAGTGGGTTGTGTTTGCTTGTCTGGGTGCTCAAGGATAGAGGGGCTACACTCCCTCATCTCAAGGAGTCAGTTGAAACAAAGCTTTTCTCAAAAAGATGATTTCTCTGACAGAAAAGAAAGGTTTACTCCTGGATAGTTCTATTTTGCCCTGGCGGGGCTGTTGGTTATTCTATGGCGCTGCCCCTCATGGCTGGTCACTGCCCATGGTGGCCATGCCAGCAGAGGAGCTGGCTGATTGAAAGAATCACAGCCTTGGTTACCTTTTTAGAGCTCTATTGGGGGAGAGAGAGAGAGACAAAGACAGAGACAGAGACAGAGGGGAAGGAAAAGAGGGGGGGCCAAGTGGAGGAAGGAGCAGAAAAGGAGAGGAGACAGCACACAGAGGGCACACCCACTTTTTAGGCTGGTTCACCATCAAAGGCTGATGATGTAATTAAGGACTGAATACTTACATCCCAGACTTTCCCTTATTATAAAAAAAAAAGCAGGTAGATGGGACTAGGGGTGTCGTTCATTTCAAAAACTGCTTCCAGCTGACTCTTGGATGTCAATTGGCTCTGGGGGAATGGAGAAGGGGAGTTTTCCAAGGTAGACAGGTGTTGTGGAATGCTGCCTGTCATCTGTTTGCTCATTTGTATCCCTCTTGGCTGTGGCTGTGAACTTTCTGTTTGACAAGATGCTGGTGACACAGAAAAAAACTTAAGAGAGATAAAAGCATCATTATTATTTTTGAGTTGGCATTTATCTGAGGTAGATCTGGCCTGCCACTATGGATTTTGAAACATGGTAAGCTTTATAAGAGACAGATTATTTTAAAGCACCTGTTTCCTTTACTAGTTCAGCATCTAGGAGACAGATGATCAATTGTTAAAAGCATCTCATAGTAATAGATGTTTACATTAAAGTCTTTTGTAGCACCCAGATGGTTTTGGGTCTGGGGGTGTAAATACCTTTTAGCTGTTACAGTTTCTTATTTGATTATCTCTGGACTCTGGTTCTGTGGTGGTCCTGTACCATTAGCTGAACAGTGAGTTAGAACAGGGAATTGGGAAGAAAAAAGCTTGTGGTACATGAGAAATTATTTTTTGAAATTAGGAACAAGGCAAACATCAGGGCCCTGTCTGTATGCATGTGAGAAACACAGGCAGTGGATCTGAAGTGAAGCAATGAGCTCTTATTTTAGTTGAAAATCTTTTTTCATTAAGTAACTCTGAAAGTGCAATTAAATCTTTCCAGAGGTGGTAAGGCTGTCCTCTGTACCCGACATAAAGGAGAGGTGGCATTCCAAAACTCCCAGGACTGAGTCAGTGGCTCTGGTGTCCAGAAGGAAAGAAACAGATCCCTTCCGTGCTGCATTCTGGGTTCCCTGCCATGTCTGTAGCCAAGCCTAGGTCTGCTGGAGGTCTTAGCTTGATGTGCCCATTCATCTTGGTGCCTGGGGGCAGTCAGCTGACTCTTTGTCTTTCTAGGTGGCTGTTGATGGCCTGGCAGGGCATTTGCTAGCCCGTGGCCTTTTCCTCACTTAAAACAGGGACCCAACAGCTTTTGGGAGTCAGCGAGTGCCAGCACTTGGCAATTTTGTTTCTGGCCTTTTATCTCTTCCCTGGCACACCTTAAATGCCACAGATGGCTCTTTTGTCTGTGGGGTCAGGAGCCTTGCTCTCCAGATGCTTAAGTTTCAGTCGGGGAGGTCTGGGGAACAAGAGACAGATTTTACTCCATGTCCTGAAATTTTTTTTCTGATGATTGATGGCTTAAGGACAGCGTTTGGAAGATCTGTCAGTAGGCTATAAGCTGATTTTTTTTGGCTTAAGAGCCATCCTGATTATTGTAAACTTATTTGTATGGATCTTAGCCGCTTCTAGACTCCTCTGTGTTTCTCAAGGCAGTTTGAGAATGAGTGGGTGGAGTTAAGGTGAGTTAGGGTGAGTTGTAGAAACCTCCCAAGCCTGCCCATTTGAGCCCGCCCACCGACCAGGGAAGTCAGACAGAAAAGGTTGCAAGTGGCAGATGCACATGTGGGGAAGGAGAAGGGTTTAGAACTTTAGCAGAAAGCTTGGAGATAAACTAACTCTTATTTGCCCATTTACTGGCAGAAGTTCCTGCAACTCTGTTATGTGGCCAGGTTTGCGCTGTTATGTGGCCACGTTTACTGGTGCCCGCCCCTATCTGCCAATGTATCTGCCCCTTTGTCCCATGGCTATAGCCAAGAAAAAAATAAAAAATTAAAATAACAAACCGGGATCAGACTACAATCTTGGGTGACCCCAAAGAGTGGAGAGAGATCCATGAATCAGCTCAAGTTTGCCATCCTGTTCATCAAGGGATGTGAAGGCCTGCGGCCCCACAGCAGTTGGTCCACCCAGTAGACCTGAGACAGCATTTACTTTCCCCATCAGGAATGAAAATGTGCCATTGCCAGTACAGCCCGAGGACAAGCCCCGGGGTGTCTGTCTTAAAGAATATAGCTCAGACTACAGCCATCAGAACAGCGGACTTACTGTGGTGAAGAATCATGGTGGTAGAGGTGAGGGGGTCCAGCAGAGGCCATAAGTGGTGCGCATGTGCTCGAGGTCTCAAGATCTCGCAGGTTCTCTGTCTCGCTGGATGGGGGAAGAGGCGCTGGATGGGGATAGAGGTGGCAGTGGTCACAGCAGGTCCTCGGTGCTCGGTGGTGTATCCGAGTCTGAACGGCACCAATGTTGTTTATTCTATGGCGCTGCCCCTCCTGGCTGGTCGCCGCCCATGGCAGCCATGCCAGCAGAGGAGTGTGGTGATTGAAAGAATCATAGCCATGGTTACCTTTTTAGAGCTTTATTGGGGGGGAGAGAGACAGACTGAGGGGGGGAGGGAGAGAGGGGTGGTTGATGGGAGGAAGGAGTGCAAAAGGAGAGGAGACAGAGAATGCACAGAGGGCCCACACGCTTTTTAGGATGGGACAACATAGAGGCTGAATACGTAATTAAGGACTGAATCCTTACATGGGCTTTTTCCCCAGACAGAGTTCTGACTCAACAGCACAACTGCTTCAGACACAGTTCAGCTTTACTGTTTTCCCAGAAAGGTCCTTACTCTGATAGGAAAGCTTTTTCTCAGATTCCCTTTTGCAGCTGTGGACCTATAAACCCGGGACTTGTAGGAAAGCTGGCAACTGTGCTGTTCCCACTGGCTTTAGCTTTGTTTGTTCATTAGCAGTCTTCCCATGGGTCCTGCACCTTCCTGCCTCAGGTCTGTGCTCCAGGAAGTTTACAACTGCAGCAATCCTAGTATCCCTGAAATGCATTTCAACTCAGAGATGCTGGCCAGTTACGTCTGGGTTTTTGGTCAGAAGCTAGGATACAATGCTAACAGAGTTTGCATTGCTTCAGGGGATCTTTGGTTAGGAAAATTAGGAGCACCCTTTCATTCTGAAATGTTCACTCAAACAAAACCCTTGATGCCTCAGCTGGGCTGTAACTGAAAAGCTTTGCTTTTTTGCTTTTCTCAGGTAAAGTTTCCTGCCCTTTTGGGTTCTCTGCAGTTCTTTACCCACACTCTCCCAAATGTTTCCCTCAGGGGACTCTGACCCACTGTCTTTTACTAGCTTGAAGAGACAGAGCTTAAAAGAGGTTTTTAGGAACTCCATCCCTGCCTCCTGTGTTGCAGGATGGATTTTTAAAGATTGAAAGAGAACTTAGAGAGGTTTTGCTATCTTAAGAGGTTTGTTGTTTTCCCTTAGAGCTAATCACAGGTGGTCCCCATACTAATATCTTCAGGTGATTCTAATTTGTCCTTTTGAGAAAGTTAAAGGCTTAGTTTTTAAGTTTTTTAAGAGAGAAAGATTAAGGCTTTTTAGAGAGATTTTTCCTCCATATTTTCCAAGAAAAGTTTTAGTTTAAGAGAAAGATTTTTTCTGAAAAGAGAGAAAGACCAACTACTCCCAAAACTTGTAAACTTTAAACTTTGGCTTTTTACAGCCCCATTTTGCCCCAGGAAGAAAACACTTTCTCCTGCTGCTTGGACTTAGCATTTCAGCTACCCCCAGGTCAAAAGCTTCTGTAGGAAAATTTTTCTTCCCCATAAGCTCAAAGAAGAGCTTTTTTACTAGCTGTAAAGCCCAAAGAAAGATTTTTTTCCCCAGTTTGTGTTCATAGCCCCCCAATTAGAAAATTGGAGTTTTTCTGTCTAGTTGCCTTACTTATTTTTTTGTACACGATCTTACACTTTTAAGTTTTTCCTACACTCTATTACTACACTATACCTTATACTTATTCACAGATAGAAATTGACAAAGGGATAGAAGATAGAAATTTTGACAGAAGGGAATTTTGCACTGCAGCATCGGACATCGTTCCAGTCTGTTTTCCTTTTTTCTGTAGGATAAAATCCCTGCCCCTCAATAATTTGCCCTACGTGGGCACCAGATATTGGTGAAATTATTAAGGCCACTCCACATAGTTAAAAGGGAGGTTTATTTTGTGGGGTAACTTACAAGTGAAGGGATACGTAACAGGGTCTGGGAAAGGTGTGGCACAGTCTGGCGGTGTTCTCTGGAGAACTCTGATAGGTCCACCTCCAGTGACCAGGGTCCAGGAACCAGGAGTGCTGGTCCATCCAGATCTTCAGGGTCCTCTCTCAGCCCTGCCTTGTAGGTGTGACAGTTCCCTAAGCCTCAATGGGGGTTGGAACTTCCAGATCAAAGCTGGAATGGCTACCCACTACAATAATTTTATAGATTGAATTTTTGGTATAATTCCCCATTGGCCTCCCAGGAGATGTAAGAACATAAAATTATGGTTGCGTTTATTTAGCCATCATGTTATCAAGAAGAAATATTTTTTCAATTTTCTTGATTTCAATTTACTCCTGTTTTTAAAAATGCATCCATGTTTGTTTATGTTGTTTCTTATCACTCATTTTTTGTTATTTTGTTCAAAAATGTAAATTTCAAAACAATGTTAGAATAATAGAAGACTATAAAATTTCTTTTTCTTAAAGATTCATTTATTAGATATAATTTCTTATTTTCCTAGTGAGTTTTTGGATAGATGCATAATTTGATCAAGCAACCAGCTATTAAGTATACCTGATTTTAAGCCAACTTTTTTTTAGTTAATTGTTTTAGGCTTATTTGAAAACATATATAGAAGGGCAAATCTTGTTTTTAAAATGAATCACATTTGTACTCTGTATGACTACAAACTTAGCTTTTAGCACTTTAAAGGATTTGATCCTCAGATGGTGATTGGTCATTAATTTACATGTCTTAATTATCTTTTTTTTTTTTTTGGTTTTTCGAGACAGGGTTTCTCTGTGTAGCCTTGCGCCTTTCCTGGATCTCGCTCTGTAGACCAGGCTGGCCTCGAACTCACAAAGATCCGCCTGCCTCTGCCTCCCGAGTGCTGGGATTAAAGGCGTGCGCCACCACCGCCCGGCAATTATCTTTAACAGTATACAACAAGCTAGTAGCTTTTATAAGATCAGGATTTTACAATTTTAGACATAGATCTCTAGTTAACTTTTCTTAGTTTAAGTATAATGTTGTAACCTTAGGAATTTATCTTTGTACAAAAATCCATTCTAATCTAAAATAATTTGGAGATTTGCTGTTGCTTCTCAAGTTTAAAAGAAGATGTAATAATGAACAGAGGACACATCAGCACTAAGAAATGTCACAGGTGCTGCCCTTTTCCAGGAACAGTCAGGGCTGCTCCTGGCTTTCCTCCTATGCAGGTTTGTCCTGCTAGTGTTTTCTTGAGATGGAGGTGCCAGTAGATCAGTATTACTGTCATGCTTCAATAAGGTTTTATTTATTTATTTATTATTTATTTGTCTATCTATTTATTTATTTATTATTTTTAGAGCAAGGAAACTGAGGTAAAGCAGCACATTGAGCCTTTTCTCCACTTTTTTTCTCCTTTCCATTCCTGTCCCCAAACAACCAATGTTTCATCCATTCCAACTTTTGGTTAAGTAGACTCCAGCCTCAAGTTGCTCATTCCAAATGTTTCCTCCTGTTATATCCTTTCTACATTCACAATCCTTCTGTAACTTTCTTTTTCTTTCACATTAGTCCTCTCTCTTTTTTTAAAAAAAATAGCTATATATATTAATTATCAAACTTGATAATTCCACCACAAATGTGTGCTTATATGGAACCATTATATTGCCTTTCTATATATAAAACTTTTATTTAACTTTTTAAATTTATTTTTCATATTAACTATAGTTTTGCCTCCATGCCCTCCTCCAATTACCTCCCCACATCTCCAATCTACCCTTTTTCCATCCACTTCTCCTCTATCTTCATTCAGAAAGGGACAAGACACCCATGGTCTTGAACAAATCATAGAACATGAGGTTGAATCAGGTCTGAGCTCCTTCCATGGATTAAGACTGGTTGAGGTAATTCAACATGAGGAACTGGTTCCCAAAGCCATCTAAGCACCAGAGACAGGCCCTGATCTCATTGCTAGGAGACTTACAAATAGACCAATCTACACAGCTATCATAAACATGCAGAGGGCCTAGGTCGTTCCCATAAAGGCTCCCTAATTGTTGGTCCAGAGTTTATAAGCTCCTACCAGCTCAGGTCAGCAGTCTCTGTAGGTTTCTCCAACATGAACTTGACCCCCTGGTTCATACAATCCCTCCTCCCTTTCTTAAGGAGGATTCTTGGAACTTGTCCTAGTGCTTGCCTGTGGATTTCTGCATCTCTTCCATCAGTTACTGCATAAAGGCTCTCTGATGACAATTAGGGTAGTCACCAATCTGATCACAGTAGATGGCCAGTTCAGGCACCCTCTCTACTATTGCTAAGGGTCTTAGCTGAGGTCATCCTTGTGCATTCCTGGGCAAATTCATGCCCATGAGGATAAAACACCTCAACATACATCCAGTTACAACCAACCTGATAGAAGAAAAAGTGGGAAGTAGCCTTGAATGCATTGGCACAAGAGGTTACTACCTGATTACAACACTAGTCTGACAGACACTGAGATTGACAGTTAATAAATGGGACTCCCTGAAACTCAAAAGCTTCTGTAAGGTAAACGACATTCTCAGTGAGACAAAACAACAGCCTACAGAATGGGAAAAGACCTTCTTCACCAACCCCACATCTGAAAGAGGGCTGATCTCTAAAATATGTAAAGAACTCAATATACTAGACATGAAAATATCTTTTCATGCTCAGAATGTGTTTTTTGGTTTCTTTACTGCACCCATTTTCATTCATGATACACTATAAAAGGATCAGTAGAGTTTCCAGTCTCTCTATGGACTATACTGAGGCTAAAAGTTTTATTTTGATACTAAAAGAGCTGCAATACAAAAACATTTTTAAGGCAAAAACCTAAAAGGGAGGGAACATATATTCCTACTCTTATGAAAGTTACTCACTTATTGTAACCTGTTAGGGATGATTAAGAAATGCCAGGTATGGTCAGTCACCTTAAATACAATTGGAATGTAAAGTCCTAGTCTTATGAAAGCTCCTAACTTACTGTAAATTTTAGAGATAATTAAGAATTACAAGTTAATGGTTAGTCACCTTTTAAATGATAAAATTCTTAAATATGATCAGAACTATACATGTAGTCATTCTAAGTACTAATGTAATTAATTATATGAATAAGCCTTATTTAGCCCCTTGTCTATATTTTCAAACTTAATCCTAAATCAAGTGACTAGAAGCAAGCAAAGTATGTCTATTCAGACATACCTAATAGACAGGTGGTTCTAAAATGCTTCAGAGATCTGTAGAATATGGCATTTAAAATGCTTAAGCTCTTGAGGCCAGC